TAAAATTAATGAGTGAATGTTAAAATGAATTTGTAGGCTAAAGTGGGATATTTGCTCAAATATACAAGATATTTGTACACCATCAGCTTATCTTTTTTTGGGGGGATCACAGGCAACTTAATGACACATAACAACAACAATCAGAAGATTTATTCATTTGCTTTGAGATTATACTATGAATTACTATTTTATATACCCAATTTGAAAACAATTCACTGTATTTTGGAATCACCTTGATTTTCCATTCAGAAGTTCACTAATAGATACTATTTATTCCCTTAATTTTGCCTTTTGCTTGTCCTACTTCACTGACTGATGTCTCTAGTTCCCAATTTTTAGTCTAGTAAGCTTACTTTATATGGCATATTTCTATATCTGGATGGTATCATGTGTGTTAATTTAGGTTGTTGACTGCTGTTGTAGGTTCTATATCCTGAGAATTCCACTTAGTATTTCCTGTAATATTGGTTTGATTTTTACAGATTAGTTTATATTTATTGGAAAATGTCTCATGACTCCCACTGTATTTGAGTTCTGGTGGTCTAGAAGGTAGAGAGATGTGCTGCTAATCAAAGAGCAGTTGCTCATTGGCAGTTTGCATCCACCAATAGCTTCATGGGAGAAAGATGGACAATCTCTCACCAAGTAATTTACAGTGTCTGAAACCCCCCTAGAGGGTCAGCTGTGAGTTGGTTCTGAGTGGATGCATCAGCTTTTCTTTTAAAATGCTGAAACGTTTATTTACAAGAGAACCCCTCCCCCCCGCCCCCCTCCCCATGGTTTTACTGTGGAGATACCTGGCAGGCATGACCTTTAACAAGTGGCCAAATTTAATCTCTAGAGTACTAAGACATTAACATAAGTGCCCCCTGATAAAATGTACTGAGAAGAGCACATTATTCTGTGTTACTCCTTAAAAAAAAAGTGTATTATTAAGCTAATCATAAGAAATCCTTAAATAGAGCCAAAACAACAGATTAGTATTTTGCTAAATCAGTCATCAGTTTTCTTAAACTGTCAAGGCCATGAAAGACAAACATGGACTGCAGAACTGTCACGGGTTGGGAGAAGCTAAGGAGCTTTGATGGCTAAATGCAAGGTAGGATTCCACCTTGGCTGTGGAACAGAAAAAAAAGGATATGAGGAGAAAAACTAATAACATTCGAGTAAAATTTGTTGTGGTTGCTTTTGGGTGCCTTCAAGTCAGAATTGACTCATAGCTGACCCTCTGGTACGTTTTCCAGAGGCTGTGGATTCCATGGGAGGAGCTTGCCCATCTTTCTCCCACGGAGCAGCTGGTAGATTCAAACTGTGGGCCTTTGGGTTGGCACTGTGGCTCCTTAACACTCTGCTGTGAATAAAGTCTATAGTGTCATTAATAGTGTCCTACTGATGTTAATATCTTAGTTTTGATGAATGAATGACGGTTATGTCAGATGTTAATATTAGTGAAAGTGGGAACACTGCTACTTTTGCAAATGCTCAGTCTGTCCAAAAGGATTTTAGAGAAAAACATTGAAATGCTTCCTACCATTGAGTGCACTGAGTGTTTTTAAATTCCCTCTTAACTCCTGGCTGTAGAATTGTTTGCAGTGTGGGGTGATGCTCCACTGGATTTCCGAGGCTGTAAATCTCACAGGAAGAGATTGCCCACCTTCCTCCCAAGAAGCCATTGGCACATTTGAGCTGCTGGAGTTGTACAGTTTTTGGTTTAGAAGCACAACCTGCCACGGACTGAAGGCCCAGAGTTCCTTGCTTTTTAATAGCCAATGATATCTTAAAGAAAGTAAATTTACAAGTCTGATTGTGTATTGTTGTTGTTGTGTGCTATGGAGTTGGAATCCACACATAGCTGGCTCTCCAGTGGGTTTTCAGAGGCAGTAAATGGCATGGGAGGAGATTGCCCATTCTTTTTCCACAGAGAGCAGCTGGTGGATTTGAACCGTGCATACCTTTCGGATAGCAGCACAGATTCCTACCACTAGGCCACAAGAACTATATGATATCTATGATTTATGTAGTGCCAAGCAACATTTTCACAAATGCTAAATTTCATGTATATATGAAAAAGTCTGCTCGGCTCCACAGTCAACACTCTTGGCACCAGCAGTCAGGAAATCAAAAAGCGTATTGCGATGGGAAAGTCTGCTGTTAGGGACCTCTCTAGAGTACTCAGGAGCAACAGTGTCTCTCTGGAGACTAAGGTGCGCCTGATACAGGCCATGGTATTTGCAGTCACTTGTTATGCATCAGAGAGTTGGCCAATGACTAGGGAGGACAGAAGGAGAGTGGATGCTTTTGAGCTGTGGTGCTGGAGAAGGGTACCATGGACTGCCAGGAAAACAAACAGATTCATCTTGGAGAGGATTAAACCAAGCTACTCCTTGGAGGCAAGGATTCTGGGGCTTCGTCTGACATACTTTGGACATGTTGCCAGGAGGGACGGGTCCTTGGAGAGGGACATCATGCTTGGGAGGGTGGAGGGACAGCGCAGGAGGGGAAGACCCTCTATGAGATGGATTGATTCGGTGACTGGGGTAATCGGGATGGGTGTGTTAGAGGCAGTGCGGTTGGCGCAGGATAGAGCAGGGTTTAGAGCTGTTGTGCATAGGGTCGCTATGAGTCGGAAACGACTCGACGGCACATAACAACAACAACAACAATGAAAAAGATCTCTGATGGCAACCCAAAGACATGAGGTTTGTATCTACCAACTGCTTCTCGGGAGACAGATGGGCCATCTCCTCATACATTTCACAGCCTCTGAAAACCTGGGAGGTCAGCTATGAGACCATTCCAACTCTCTGACAATGAACACCAGGAACGTGTGTGTGTGTGTGTGTGTGTGTGTGTTTGCAAATACCTTTAGAAAAATCTTTAAATTTAAATTTAAAGTTCCCCCTTCTTTATTATGTTTTTCTTCCTGCTTGTAACACCCTTTTATGAACTTTGACAGTTCAACTCTCCTGTTATTTCATGTGATCTTCATCTTTGAGCAAAAAATGTTGAACTGGAAGCCAGTGGACCTGGTACCAGTATTTTTAATCTGGTTTTGTTACTTACTAGCTCATTGTCCTTTCAGTTCTAACATTCTGGGGCTCAAATATCAAATTTTGGCTGAATGTATATTACTTAATATGAGAATGAAAATGATATTTTAAAATTTATTTTTCTTTTTATTGAGATCCTGTGTAACTTTTCATTACATTTCCAAAATCCTTTGCTTATATACATTTTTTTCACCTCACCATCAAAATCTGTTGATTCTACAACAGACTTCACAATGTAGAAACTTTGCTCTGACTTTTCACCTTTTCGGGGAGTGGGGAGTGTCTACTTGTTTCGCTAGAGCAAAGAAGGGATGAGGAGTAATGCTTGAATAGTGGGCCTTGGCTTCGAAGTTGAGTTTGGACTTTATAAATCATGGAAGATGTTTGTGAGAGAGAGTGACATAGGAAACTACCGTCTAGTAGGTGATTTCTATTTCCCCAGCATGGGCCGAGGAAAGAGAGATGTAGGAGCTGATGTTATTGAGCTATTCCCAGATGAGGTGCTCACTGCTTTATGTGCGTTATGTCATTTAATCTACACAGTAGCCCCTGGACATTAGTATTGGTAGTAGCAGTTTCATTTTCAGATGAGGAAACTAAAGCTGAGAGGTTAAGTAACAAAGTTCCTTCAGTGAGTAAAACTATTGTCCAGGAGTGAGTGACTCTGTACACTGTAACATTTGCCGTTAGCCCAGGACGAGTTGGGGCAATTAGATAGTCCAGGTGATGAGGTTCAAGCAGAGTCAACAGTGGTGGGAATGGAGCATGGGGCCCGAGGTGCTGAACATCCATCCTTACAAGAGAGCTGTAATCACAGGGCTGTGATTTAATTTGCCTGTAGACATTTCACCTCTGTACTTGATGTTTCTGTAGAAGCTGCTGCCCAGTGGTGAAAACTTTGCCAAGAACCATGATGACATCATGGAAAACTTGCCTCTAATGTCTTAAGTAGCTTCGGCCTCTTGGCTAATTTTTTTTTCTCAAATAAGAAATGTATTGATTTAATGTAAGTGCTGAAGTTGCGTGTGTTCATTTTAAGAAAGGAACCCTGGAGGCAGAGTAATTAAGTGCTTGGCTGTTATCTGAGAGGTTGAGTGTTTGAACCAACCAATGGATGACGAAAACTCAAAACTCATAGTAACCCTGTAGACTTTCCAAGGCTATATTCTGTATGGAAGCATATTGCCATGTCATTCTCCTTTGGAGTGGCTGGTGTGTTTGAACTGTCAACTTTTTGGTTAGCAGCTGAGTGCTTACCATTGGACTACCAAGGCCTCTTCCCATAAAGATTCAACTCAACTCATTGCTGTCAAGTTGGAACCAACTCATAGCTGACCCTCTATTGGTTTTCTGAGGCTGTAAATTGCCTAGGAGCAGATAATGCATATTCTGGCCCCCATAGAGCTGCTGGTGGATTTGAACCATGTGCAGAGCTCCCACAAAAGTTAGAGTTTAAGAAATTGTGGGACAGTTCCTAGTCTGTTTTAGAGAATTGCTCTGCTATAGACTGATTTGATGGCAGTGAGTTTTGACGTAGTGATAATTTAAGTAAAACAACTTCCAAATGTTCTGAAGTATCTCATGATTTTTTTTCTTATTGTTGTTCAGCTAAGCATGTTATTACAGAAGTTTGATCAATTATTTCTTTTATTAATCATCACTCTCGCTCTTCTGCTAATCTAGGCTTATTTCTAGAGACCTACTTGCTTTACAGTGGTGTGAGTTGATACATCACAGAATTGCATAATTTATTTTACTTTTATTTTATAATTTATTCTTTTCTTTTTCCTAAGGAAAAAGAGAGTGCATGCATTTTGACCTTGCAAAGCTTTAAGAAGAACTGTGCAAAGGCACAGTTCAAAAAGAATTTCATTCCAGTGTCTTGAATGTTTGAGATTACCTGGGGTAGTGTAGGCCAGCCCAGTGACCTCTCTTCTGTGTCTTCTGCAGGTGATAAGAAGTACATCATGGGACCCAAGCTTTCTACTTTGGATGCCACTGTCTTCGGGCACTTGGCACAGGCAATGTGGACCTTACCAGGGACGAGACCTGAGCGACTGATCAAAGGCAAGTCTTGCAAATCTCTTCCAGATTGGAGACCACTGGGTTGAGAGGATACCACATAGGGACTTCTAGGCTGATGCCTGTGGACTTGGAGAGAACAGCATGTGGTGTCCAGAGCCAGGCTTGAATCTCCAGATTTAGGTCATGCAGGGGTGGAGAAGACACTTAAAAGATCAGGAGCCATATAATGTTCTTTTTAAAGAAATGATCAACCTTTTTGGTGGATTTCTTTTGAGTTTCACTGGAGACAGAAACATTTGGGAATCTGACACCATCTTCTGCAGTGAGCTTTTGGCACTTAGCTGCATGAACTTTGCTCCTTTAAAAGAGGAAGCAGCCTCTTCCTGGGGCTGGAATAATATGAATTATTAAAATCCAAGGAAAATCTCTACATCTCATCTTAGTGATTAACTCCTCCTCTAAGCTCTTTAGTCTGAACTACTATCAGCCAGCCAAATAACTAATTTTGTTTCTAATTCTTTCTTAGTCTTTTTTCTTATTACAGTAGAGGCCTTACCAAGAAGTGACAAGTGGAAAAAGAAATAAAAACAACTTAAACACTGAAACACTTAGAATTGATTCTGTATTAGCAGTGTGAAGGGTGGCATCAAGAAATTTTCTGCCTAGGGTTTATAATATATGTGTATGTCTGTGAAAATGAGTTTTTGGTTCTAGATATTATTTAGAGTTACTTCTGAAACCAGCTAGATTAAGAAGAAATTTTCTTTTAGTTAGGGAAAAAGGATGACATACTTTAATAGTTTTTTTAAAAACTCGTACTGTGTGTATATATATGCATACACATATACATACACACACACACACATGCAGGTTGTTGCTCAGTGTCTGTGGGTAATTGGTGTCAGGACCCAGCAGTTACTCAAAGTCTGTGGAAGCTCAAATCCCTTATGTAAATGGTATGACTTTTGTATATAATTTATACACATCCTTCTATATGTTTTAAATAATCTCTAGATTATTCATAATTTTTTTTTGTTGAATGCAAGGTGGGCTAAATCCATGGATGTGGAACCTGTGGATACCGAGCACTGACTGTATGTATGTATGTGTGCACACACACACACACACACACACGCACAAACACATATGGTGGTGTAGTGCACAATGTATTGATTTTCTAACTGAAAGGTCATTGGTTTATATCTATTAGCTGCTCTGTGGGGAGAAGTTAGACACTCTTTTCTTGTAAATATTGTAAATAATGTACAACCTTGGAAACCTGGTGGAGGATCATCATGATTTGGAATCAGTGTGGTGGTAGTAGATTATATTTATCTCTATAAACCACTATTATTTTCTTCTACAACTTGTCAGTTTGTTGTACAGTGGTGACTTGCATGTTGCTGTAACTCTGGGAGCTATGCCACTGGTATTTCAAATACCAGCAGGGATTTCTATAGTGGACAGTTCAGTGGAGATTTGAGACTAAGAGTAAGAAGCAGTACCGACCATCCACTTCTGAAATAAAAGGCCCTTATAAAAGCCTCATGAAAGCAATGGAACATTGGCATAGTTCTGGAATAGGAGCTCCTGAGGCTGGAAGGCACATGAAATATGACCTGGGAAGAGCTGCCTCCTCAAAGTAGAGTCTGCCTTAATGCCGTGATGGAGAAGGGATTTTACCCAGCGAAGGACTTTTCATTTCCTGATGGGGCAAGTCTTCAGATGAAGCAAAATGCTACAAACATGCATGCATTCATGATTGAAAGGTGGAATATATGCAGTATGATTCTAGGAAAGTCAACAGTTGCTAAAAAAATGAAATTAAAAGTCAATATCCTAGGCATTAGTGAGCTGAAAGGGACTAGTCTTGATTTTTTTTTAACCAGATAGTCATTTGGTCTATATCATGCTGGTAATGACAGTTTGAAGAAGAATGGTATAGTTTTCATCAAGAAGATCATTTCAAGATACTGCTTGAAGTGCAATGCTGTCAATAATATTGTTAGGAGCTGTTGAGTATGAGCCATAACAATCCTATGAATAACAAATCTGAAGTCTGTCCTGTCCTGTATCATCCTCACATACTTAAGCCCATTGCTGCAGTCACTGTGTCTGCATCTGGTTGAGAGCTTTCCTCTCACACTGACCTTGCATCTTTTCAAGCATCATGTCGCTCTCCCAGGAATAGCTCTCACTTGGTACCAGCAGTCAGGAGATCAAGAGATGTAGTATTGCACTGGAAAAGTCTGCAGTCAGGACTTCTTCAAATTTTGAGGAGCAATGATGTACGTTTGAGGACTAAGGTGCACCTGATTCAGGACATAGTCTTTTCAGTCACTTACTATGCATCTGAGAGGTGTACAGTGAATAATGATGCCAGAAGAATTGATGACTTTAGCTCTGGCATTGTAAAAGAGTGCTGAATATTCCATGATCTGCTAAAACACCAAATAGATACATCTTGGAGAAAGCGCAACCAGAGTGTTCCTTGATGCAAGAATGGTGAAACTTCATTTCACAGTCTTTGGGCATTTGCTAGGTGAGGCTGTCAATGATAGGATAATATTAATAAACATACAAAGAAGACCTGTTAATATGACTTTTGGTCAAATATATGCATCAACCACTAAAGACAAAGATGAAGAAATTTAGAATTTCTGCCAACTTCTGCAGTCTGAAATGGATAGCACGTGTAATCAAGATGATAATTGATGGCTGGAATGCAAAAGCTGGAAACAAAGGAGGACTGGTAGTTGGAAAGTCGGAGCCTGATAACAGAAATGAAGCTAGAGGTAGAACAAGAAAATAAATAGTTTTGTGCAAGGTATGTAAATTTTGTACAAATTTATTTATTGAAAATACACAAACCCAAACACCTATACATAAATTATTGGTGACTGGCTGAGTTTTCTACAGAAGAAAATTCAAAGAAATACACACATGTAAATATGTCTATATTTCCCTCTCTGTTTATCTATCTAGAATTGAAATATTGCAGCAAAGAGATGAAGCCCTGGATATGCTCACTTGTATATGCCAAGAAATTTGGAAAATAACAACTTGACCAATAGAGTAGGGGAAAAACATTCATATATGTGCCTATTACAAAAACTAACAGAGTGCAGAAATTATCAACCAACTTCAGTAATATACACAAGTAAAAATCTAGCTACTTCTTGTTGTTAATGTGCTGTTGAGTCACCTGCAACTCATACAACAACCCTAAACCCTGCTCTATCCTGTGCCATTCTCAATGTCTCTGACACACCTAACCCCATTACTCCAGTCACTGAATCAATCCCTCTCATCATGGGTCTTCCTCTCTTGTGCTGTCCCTCCATTCTCCCAAGCATGATGTCCCTCTCCAAGGACTGGTCCCTCCTTGCAACATGTCCAAAGTATGTCAGATGAAGCTTCAGAATCCTTGCCTCCAAAGAACAGCCTGGTCTCACCCTCTCTAGGATGAACCTGTTTGTTCTCCTAGCAGTCCATGGTATATTCAACACTCTTCTCCAGCACCACAGTTTAAAAGCATCAATTTTCCTGCTATTATCCCTAGTCATTGTTCAGCTTTCCGATGCATAAAGGCTGCAAGAGTACATCAGTAGGAGAGTATCAGAAACCCAAGCTGGATTGAGAAAAAGTGGCGCAATGAGAGATGTCATTGCTACTGTCAAATGGATCTTGGATGAAAATAGAGAATACCAGAAAGATGTTTACTTATGTTTTATTGGCTGTACGAAGGTATTTGATTATGTTGATCACAATAAATTATGGTTAACATTGAGAAGAATGAGAATACAAGAAATCTTTGTGCTCATGCAAAACCTCTATATGTAAACCAAAAAACTATCCCTTGAACAGAGCAAGGGGATGCTAAGAGGACTGTGATGATGAGTGAAGATAGAGCAAGGTTCTAATCTGTTGTTTATAGTGTCACTGTGGGTCAGGGACGACTTTATAGCACCTAAAGACAGCAACTAATCCAGGCCATGGTTTTCTCAATTACTTGTTATGCTTCAGAAAGTTGGACAATGACTAAGAATGACAGAAGAATAGATGCCTTTGAGTTACGGTGCTGGAGAAGAGTTTTGAACCATGGACTGCCAAGAGAACAAATAGGTCTATCTTGGAGAGGGAGAAACCACGTGTCTTCTTGGAGGCTAGGATTTTGAAGCTCTGCCTGCCTTACTTTGGGCATATGACCAGGAGAGATCAGAAGGACATCATGCTTGGGAGGGTGGACAGACTGCGCAGGAGAGGAAGACCCCAGATAAGGTGGATTGATATAGTAACTGGGGCAATGGGGGTTGGTGTGTCAGAATTAGTGAGACTGGCTCAGGGCAGGGAAGGGTTCAGAGCTGCTGTACAGAGGGTCGTGATGCATCGCAGGCAACTTAACTGATAACATTCTATGGCATGTTTTGAAGCAGGAGTGGCATCTACTTCCTAAACAACTTGCCTCCAGAAACTCTATGAACTTTGATAAATGTCGATAGTTGTAGAGGGGCTTCAGGCCTTTTGTTTATAGGGTCACTATGAGTTGTGCTCGACTCGAAGGCAATCAGCAACAAAACAATGACAACAACAAGGTTTAAAATCAGGAAAAATATGCATCATGGTTGCATCTTTTCACTATATTCAGTCTATTTTGAACAAATAATTTGAGAAGCTTGACTATATTAAGAAGAATGTGATGTCAGATTTGGAGGGAGACTCATCAGTAACCTTAGATATGACACAATCTTGCTTGCAGAAGATGAAGAGGCCTTAAGTGCTTACTGATCATGTTGGATTGTACTTCAGCACAAAACAAAAATCCTCACAACTGGACTGATAAACAGCATCATGATTCATGGAGAAAATATTGTCAACTATTTCATTTTCCTTGGATCCATAATCAACATCCATGTTGTATTTGGAAAACCAGTAGTCAAGGGCCTCTTTCAAGTGCTAGAGAGAAGGATGCCATTTTAAAGACTAAGGTGTGCCTGACTGAAGCTATTATATTTTTGGTTGCTTCCTTTGAGTGTGAAAGT